AGATAAGGATGATAGATGTTTAATGGGAAAGAAGGAGAAGAGATAAGGACGATAGATGATTGGTGGGAAAGAAGGAGGAGAGATAAGGACGATAGATGATTGGTGGGAAAGAAAGATCAAACCACACCAGAGCACCCACCAAACACTCACAGGATCACAAGCTTTACAATGGCAGTGAAAACCTTTCAGCAGAAGACACTGACAGTCCCATCTTACCTTTCTTGCTCCTCAAAGACGGCGTGATTCTGATACCCTCGTCCCCAGCCAAGGCATCTGGAAGACAGAGACAAATGGAAAAAAGATATAGGGTGCACAATTTTGTCCCGCTGTGTTGAATATTTTTTTATTTTTTTTCGTAAGAGTCTAACAGCACTTGCAACACAATAAGGTCATACAAGTGCCGAAGATTGGAGGTGTTACAAGAGAGTAACAAACACACAAAAAGAAGGAGGGGAGATAAAGATGATAGATGTTTGATAGGAAAGAAGGAGCAAACAACACCAGAGCACCTGCCAACCACCCACTCAGTAGAACAGCACATGAATGAGTTACTGTAGTTTGAAGAAGGGAGTCACAGAGCTGTTGTGCCCAGGTGCAGAATAATTCTAGAAGCAAAACTCTGGCGGCAAGTCAGGCACGGTGCTATATGGTCTCTTTTAAGGACAAGCGGGCCAACCCAGATTTCGGGCTTTTAAGAACAAGCGGGCTAACCCAGATTTTGGGCTTTTAAGGACAAGCGGGCTGACCCAGATTTCAGGGGTTTCCAAAAATCTGGACCTACACCAAAATAGGAAATTGCCCTACCTATAGGAGAAGTTTGGTTTCATTGGTGTGTATATTTGTTTGGTTACAGAGAAAACATTCCTGGTCTTTTAAAGAAACTGAGCAAGAGGGGCAGAAACTTTTACTTCAATTTTCTCAGAACATCATTTTTTGGGATAGCCCCCTTTTTGCTTAAAAATAAAAGCGACCATATATAGCCCACAGTACTAAATAAAATAGTGGAGTCGGCTAAAGCGAACGCGGTACATCAGAACAGCGACGTAACCCAAAGAAAAAAACAAAACCTATAAACCTCTAATGGTTTTCTTCCTTTGTCAGCAACTTCTCTAATCCCAAACCCCCAAACCCAGCTAAGCCAAAGAAACTCTGGAAGTCCCACAGATTCCGATTTAAGCTGCAGATCCAAATTATGTTCCAATGAAAACGTTTAATTGATGGTAGAATGGTTGAGAGAACGGCCTGACTAACGAGATGGTTTGTGGCATGGAGAAACAACTGATGTGGGTGACCTGTCTGTTTGTTCAAACAGGAGCAAACCACACCAGAGCACCCGCCAACCACCCACGCTCACAGTCTGAACTCAGAACAGTGATCCAAAATGCAATACAGAAGTCACCGTTTGATTTTACTCTGCGGGACCTCAAAACAAACACAACACAACACACCTGAACAACACATCAAACCTGAACAACACATCACACCTGAACAACACATCACACCTGAACAACACATCACACCTGAACAACACAACACACCTGAACAACACAACACACCTGAACAACACATCACACCTGAACAACACA